TCACGGTGTTCCATCCAAAATCATTTTAGACAACGGAACTGAATTTAAAAATACAGTGGTCACAGAACTATTACAACTTCATAAAATAAAAATTCATTTTTGCTCGCCCGAGCACCCCCAGTCTAACGGAGTTATCGAGAGGGTACACTCCACTTTATCCGAACACGTAAGAATTCTAAATAATCGTGGCTTCCTGAAGACACCTATCAGCCAAAAAATGAAATATGCAATCCTAGCATATAATCACACCATCCATTCGGTGACTAAATTCAAGCCAATAGATGTTATTTCAGGACACATTAGCCCAAACGATCCATTTGACCTAAAATTAGACCAACTTTAATTGACAGATTATGTCACAGAACATAAAAATAAGTCTAAACTCTTATATTCAACCATCAATGAAAAACTTATAAATCAGAAAGAAAAAATCATAGGAAAGATTAATGAAACTTCCGATAAACCAACATTATTCCACCCAGAACAAAAAATATACATTAAAAAGCATACACGTCAAAAACTAGCCGATAAGTTTACACCTCAGACACAAGTGGAAACCGTTGACCCAGTACGTAAAACAATTGCAACGACCTCCCACGGAAAAGTACACATGGGTAACATTAAACGTCCCTTGAGAAATAAATATAGTTTTGACACCTAGTTTTAAGAATAAAATATTATATTACAATTACTCTAATTAACTATTTTAAATGCATTTTATATCATACGCTTGCTTATTAGCTTTATAACAATAAATATTATATTTCAGTTTCTTTGCCTACGCGTTTGGGACTCAAGAACAAATAATCATCAGAAAACTGGATGACAATCCTGGCATAATTCCAGTCAAATTAGGGAACGCGAAAATCAAAGATTACACCTACACCCTGATACATTATTATGACTTGAACCCAATAATACGTGAAATAAATAAGCTTCACGTAAAATCTAATAATATTACAAACATTCTTAATGGACATCAAGACTATTCTGAAGACATTAGCAATTACATAAATTTGTTGAAAATAACACAGAATAGAATTGATACAAAAATATCAGAGATTATTCCTCAGCCACAAAGAATTAAAAGAGGACTAATTAATGGCTTAGGATCAATATTCAAATCTGTAACTGGAAACCTAGACGCATCTGACGGAGAACGTTACGAGCATATCATTAGGGAATTACAAAACAATCAAAATAGTTTACAAGAAAGTGTTCTGAAAGAAAACTCGCTTTCTCTAACAGTAATCGAAAAATTTAACCAAACCATTAAACAAATAAATCAAATAGTCAATATCTATGAGATAATTGACTCTATTTTACAAGATATAGAAAATTCCTTAACTTTTTCAAAATTGAAAATTATGCATCCAAGCATAATAAAAACTGAAGACCTTTATCATGAATTAAACAAACTTCAACAGCGTTTAAGTTCTGAACAAATGCCCCTAGCGGTTACTTTGGAAAATACTTCACTTTTTGAAAAAATAATTTAACTGGAATCTTTTGTCATTAATAATAGAATAACATACCTAATACATATACCAATAATGTATTCAGAAATTTTTGATTACTTTCATTTATACTCGGTTCCAGTACTTTCTCAGAGTCAGTTTAAGGTTGTCTTACCGCGAAATAAATTCTTGCTGAAAAATAAATTGCACTACACATACTATGGCCAAGAATGTCAAGAAGTCACTCCGAAGTCCCATATTTGTGGAAAAGAAGACATTCACAAAATTCAAGAAGACAGCCCATACGAAATTAAACTACTCCACTCTGACAAAAATACCTCCACCTGCGAACAAACCAAAGTTGAAGTCCCACAAATTATCATCAATCGATTGGACGATTCCAACCAATGGATATTGGTTGTTCCTGTCAAAGAAGCCATCCAACTCAAGTGCTTTCAACAAAAAGAAGTACAAAACATCATTGGAACATTTATGCTCCAAATACCGATTGGTTGCCAAGTGGCCACCGCTTCCAAAATAGTCATCAATGAAAATAGGACAATCAAGACCGATATTCAACCGATACTGTTTCCTGACATACCAAATACACTCGCCATGATGCCGACCCTCAATCTAAGTCGACATCTAAATTATTTGAAGTTAGACGACCTTCACCAATTGAGCAAAGAAGTATTGGACATACGCCCACAACTGAGCTTCACCGAAATCAATAGATTGCCCAGCCTTGGGACAATCCTTATATATGTCCTCATCGTTATTGCCTGTATCTTCTTGGTTTACATGAAATATGTAAAAGCTGCCATGAAGAAGAAGAGGTCCACCCCCGTTCCAGAAGAAGACCGGAGTATTCAACTCCCCCGCTAGCGTGAAAGTTGAAGCTAAGAAGGGAGGAGTTATATCACGTCTATTTGCTGAGTCCTCATTTAAAATGCTTATTCTTTTCAGCTTATTATAAATATATGTATTTTCTTAGGATAGTTAGTCAGTTGAAATTTATTATACTTATAACTTTTATTGTAACGTGCTTTCGCTAGTAATAATTTCGAATTGTTAATAAAGTCATTTTTTAAAAACCAACCCTCGGTTGCTGACTTGTTAACTAACGGCACAACTACGCAAGCGCAGATGTCAATATAGCGTTTGCATTATTACTGCTGGAACTTATTTCACTTTCAATAACTCTCTAACGTCAAAGCTGGACAAAAGTCAATGCAACATATTTTTATGTTATGATTGGTTCGATTACATTGACTTGACTTTTTTTGTCATTTTTGAAGTTATAAAAAAAGTCGATTTACACAATACCACACAAAAAGGCGTACCAGTTTTATAATTGGCGAAGTGTATAAGGTCCGTTTCACCAGGGTTCATACTTGACCTTGAAACTTGAAAAAAAAGGGTTGTCGTAGATTAATTCATATGACACATCCAATTTTTTTGACAAATTAAAATGATTTAAGAACCGACGAACGTTGTTGACGTCATTGATTTGTTTCAGTCAATTTTGATTTGTTAAACAAGGAAGGCAAATGCTGGTGGCAAGTACAAACCCTGGCGAAACAAACTTTACGTTTGTGGTCCTTACAACATATCGAAAAATCAGAACCAGCCAATAGTTTTCGATTTTATCGATTTCTCGTGAACTATATGACTGACCTACAATTCTGGACTCATCACATTTTTCGAGCGTCAGGTTCCTAATATGACTGACGTACGCCAGCAGATCCCCTGTTGATCTTTTAGAACGAAGCACATACTGTTTGTTACAGATGAGCTTATTGGCTTCGAAGTATTTAACCAGTTTCTAGGAAGAGTTTCTTGCCCTTTTTCGGGATGGACTGCACTCTGGCACATTTTCAGATAGACGGGAAAACGCCTCGACTGTAAAAGAGTGAACACAGTTTCCAAAGAACTGGAACCATTTCTTGTGCACAAGTTTTGAGGATAATTAATGAAATGCCGTCGGGACCACAAGATTTTCCAGTGTCAAGTAGCAAAAGAATTTTCCTAATAGTTTTAGGTCTAAATACAACGTTGTCCATGTGTGAACCAATGCGTGGCAATACCTGTGACGCTCATTGTTGGATGCAAATTATTTGGAGAAGAGATATGCTATTTCCTTTGACGTACGATACTACAATGGACTTATTGTTCTTAACTGAAGGTGAAAACGAAGATGGTAAAGTTTTTCTTATGGTCTTGGTAAAGAACCAAAGGACCTTGATCCGCTCGGGTAGTCCAAAAGTCGATTACGGACTTTTTGGTTGTGTAACTCCTAAGCCTTGTTGGTTATATCACAGGTTATATGGTTGCAATCATTTCTGGCAGCCGTAAAGGACGATTGAATTTGTAAGTTTGTTTCAAGGTACGATATGTGGTGTTCTTTTTTGCAGTCGCTAGGATACAATGCTTGTTGAATTATGGTTTTCCGGCACGGGATTTTTTATTGAAGCGTGGAATGTACAATTCCATACCTAAGGAAATTATTTCAGTAACCTCTTGCGCAGCCTCGGAGGAATCTTTGGATTTAAAGCAAATATCGAATCACGGAAAGATCGAGAAAAAGAATTTCAGGCCCTCCTAAGTCTGCAGCTTCATAATGCCACACCCTACGAGGTAATCAAGCAGGGGCTGAAACGAACTTCGAGAGGAAATAAATTTGTGGTCTGATTTGCCCAAAGGTGCAGCCACGCATCGATCTAGTAAGGATCAGGATTAGTGGTAAGGAACAAATCGAGTGGCCTGTTCCTGTTGAGAAGCGGAATCGAATCTCCTAAAAATATTATCTCGGAGTTTGCATGCGTTCCCTGAATAGAATCGAATGTATTTGCCAGATTTTGAAATAGAAGTTCATTACTGGAGTCGTTGGGTGAAAGATGCATGCACAAGCAAACTTAACTATGTTCGTAGAAGTAGAAGTAATTTTCAACCAAACTACGTCGTGATGATTCGAGATTATCTCTGTTGCAAGACAGCTTACTGCGAGAAAATACGCAAAGTCCCCTCTTGAAGCGAAATCGCGTATCAAGTTCATAGCCGGGACATAGGAGATGGATTCAATTGACAGAAGATTTTACTTGCGTCTCCGTTAAGACCAGATGTGGATTTTTGTGCTTGTGTGATCATAGAAAATTTATTGTTCGCTTAATTGATTGAATGACTTAAGGTGCATACTCCTAGGGTAGGTTTCTCAATAACGAGTCACCTCCGCAGCCTTATTCTGTAACTTGCGACCGCAGAGAATTGCGCAATAGTCGCTGTCAAGTCTCTGTCAAACGCGAGTTTTCTATTTAACAAAAGCAACTTGCGACCGGTTGCTGGTTGCTATGTAATTGCTGTTCGTAGAGAATAGGCCTGCCGGGTTCATTTCAACTCCAGGGTGAACGTGTCCAGTTGCAATGTTTACCCTGGAGTTATGCTTGGTGACTTTCTATTGAAAAACCGGCCCCTATTAGGGCTCAATTAAAATTCTGAGATTACGGAGAATCGAAACGTTGATAAAATCACATTAAAATTACTTACTTGACACCTTTATCCCTATATCCAGCAAACAACTCCTTGGATTTACTGACACACTCCGCTTCGCCATATTTACAAGCCCTGTTGAGAATCAACATTTGCTTCATGCTGTAAACTTGATTCGAACTATCGAGTACATCAAACGGTACTGTTTTGTAGACATTTTGCATAAGTTTCAACATCCAATTTATGAACAGTTGACCTTCTTCAGAATCATAGCCGATCCTTTGCAATAAATGATTATGTCCAGTAATAGCGGCGTACCAAGGATAGTAGTCCACTTCGTATTCAAGGTAGCTTAAAACACTCATGAGCTCTGCGTAAGTCCAGCTTCCATAACCGTCATTACGGCCAGCTCTAGCGAAATTGTAAGCGTCGCTAATTATTTGGGCTCTGTTCAAAACATCTATTGCTAAGTGATTGGAATGTAGCTGAGCTTTGATTGCTGACCAAAGAGTGGAGTCGTAATCGACACGGTAGAATCCTGATTGTCGATTATTAAGTATAATCCAATTATTGTCAGTTAAAACCCCAGTCAACGTCAGAGATTGACCAGGTATTAACCAAGTCTTTACTGTGGTGTTCGAGAATTTTGTAACATCACTTGATAATGTGTATGTTATAGGGACATAATATTCTGTAGTGTCGTTTCCAGATAGTAGGAATCTTTCTTGACTTAATACAACATCATTGCCACTTTTGGCAACTTTCACTACAGGATGGCCACTGTGCTCAACCCAATTGTTTAAAACAGTGGTTAAGTCAATTCCCTGAGGTAGACTTGTGTTTGGTACGTGAGGTGCAAGTTTTGACCATAAATCGGCTGGAACTGTTGCCTGTAACGTGCTAGAAAATTGAAATACTTACTAATGTTTAAACGATTTGGTGAAGACAAGTTTAGACACGTATAGACAACATTGATTGGAAATTGTAACCCTAAAACCGGATGCGCCTTTAGGTCCAAACCGGGATTAACCTATCCGGGACTCTTATACTGCTCTACGTCCATCGTTTTTGTTTTTATACAAGTAGGCAAGCCTGGGTAGGTATCAGAAAAAAAGACAAAACACTTGTAAGATTAATTCTTATTAACCTTATTAACATTACACAGGGAACACAAAACACAAGAAAGCATATTTTCCTTCACCATTTCAGCATATGCAGTAACTTACTTATTTGAAAGATAATCCCTTATACCGTAAATAAAATTACCGGCGCCCATAATGTTAGTTTCAATCATTCTATAAATTGAGGCACCTTTGTTATAGCTAATTGTGCTGAATTTATCTGAAATCTGAAATCCACAATAAATTAATTTACGATCAATCAGAGATTTTTATAAATGAGTGAATAGAGTCAGGAGAAATAGATGTTGAAGATGTGTAACCAGTGGCCAAAATTGCACAACTAATTCTTACCTACTTCCAGTTTTCTATTCAAAATTCCCTTAAATTTGTCAACATTTTCTCTCTATAAAATTTCAACAACAATCTCAACGGTTGCGGATCCTGTAAATTTCCTAATTTTCAATAGTCAAATTCTATTTTAATTTGTTACTAGTTCTTGTGCTGTAATGATTTTTCCTCGTTTTTAATCCATATTTTAATTCAATTTCAAAATCAAAACAAATCAATATTTTGATTCCAATTTGAAATTCTACCATCCGATTTTCATAAACAAATAAATATTCATTTGTCAAAAATATTTATTTTGGGGTTATGTACCCCAAATAATAATAATCCGTTTTCAAGTGTATGTACCGAACCACTCTGTTCGGTTATTGAGTTATTGAGCTCGGTGCAAGTTCTAGTGAACCCCGGGTCGATTATTGGTTCGATAGTCTTTGAGATGTTTTCTGTGCTATCCTTGCTTTCGGTTTTCGATTAGTAATGTTTTTAGTATCGTCGATTCTTTTTTTAAGCCCTCTAATTTTGCAAACGGATCACTTACTCTATGTTGTATTCTTCAAGTTATGATTGTTCTATTGAATAATTATTTGTTGTTAATATCATTATTCGTCAGCCGTTGACATTTTTCTCGGATTATATTGTCGTGTGCAATTTTTGGTAAGTAAGGATTCTATCGATAAATTTTTGACGTTTGTCGTTATCCTGAATCATCTCTGAATCTACCTTTAGGCTAGCTAATTAATTTTATGTGTAGCACATTCCCTTTCACGTTTGACTGTTTGGAAGAGAAGGTCCTCCGGAAGATTTATTTTTTTTCTTCACCTTAAAAAGGGATTTTGGGCCTGGTTTTCTTCTGCATGGAATTTATGACACAATGAGTTACCTTGCGTTGTGTTTTACTTTCGTAAAGTGCCATAATTTTCGCCGATGTTATCGGATTTAAAAAACAGTCATTTCGGTAAGTTGCTTACACGTTTTTTTTCCCACAGTAGATTCTGACTTTTTCAATTTAATCATTAGTTAAAAGCTGCCCTAAAGAGTAGAGTATCATCTCACTCACTCTAGGATATCCAATCCAGACCTCGATCCAGATTTCCTGAGATTTTCGAGGCAAATAAACCCTATTTCCAACAGGTAAAAACATAACCTTATTAACTTCAATTTTTTTTTGCAAACTCGAGGCACATTTTCTTTAATTACTATCAAAGCTTTATTATGATTTCATCTAATTCAATTAATTAATACATTATTGTTCAATTTTTCTACTAAAACAATTTTCAAGAGCTATAGTTTTTTTATCAAGTAAATTGAGTTATATCATAGTTTCATTTTCTAATTCAAACTATTCATGAAGTGCTCTGCTATGGTTCAATTACAAATACAGTGTGTTATAATAGTTTTTCTCTTAGGGTTTTTTCTTTTACCACGGAGTTTTTACTCACGGTTACAACAGTACACCTTCAATTGTAACCCAAAATTGAACTAAAAGGCTATCAGACACCAGCCTAAGTAGTTGGACGGTTACACAAGCCTTCTGGACCGTAAATTTGAACCGTAAGATTGGCTCGACTATCTAAGCATAACCAGTAGCCAGGACTAATCTGGTTAATTGTATCAACCACTATCATCTGGAACATTTTGGTATCGTACTAGTTTTAGTAAACATATTATTATTGTTTATTTACATTCTGTCCCTATTTGTACACCTCAGTGATCACTACGGTATTTCAGGGGGTAATTCAGTGCTTGTCCCAACGTGGCAATTGAATAACTAATATAGGTAACTTAACTAGACATAACCTGATTAATTTATGTCAACTTGCCACGCTTTTTCGCTGATTAAGAAAAGTTTATTAAAAGAGAAAAAGAAAAAAAAATTTAGAAAAATAAATTTAAAAAAAAATTAAAGTTGAAAATAAAAAAAAAATAAAATAAAAATAATGAAAATTAAAAGAAGAATAAAAATAAAAATAAATGAATAAGGAACTTGAGATTGTAGGACTGAAGGTCGAAGTGCAGGCAAATTAAGCCCTAGCTCAGAACTAAATAATTCGGAGAGTAGGGGTGGGTTTCAGTTTTGGGCGCCACCGACTCTGAACAGATGAGTCGGACTCTCCAGGATGGTATCTGGCTTCAGGTCCTTACAATCCAAATAATAAAAATAAAAATATTAGCAAAAACCAGGCTGTGTGCATAAAACCAAATAAAAGTCAATTCAAATCAAGTGCTACAGTCGTTTATTTATCAAATGGCCGCAGTCCACAATGAACAATAATTTGAATTCAAGAGGAAAAAAAAAGAAATAATAATAATCAAGTAAATTAGCAATTAATAAAATGACCTTGTCAAGAAGCGTTAACTAACAAATACAGAAATGCAATACTATGTCATGATCAGTTAAATTTAAATGCAAAAATGTCATTGAAACTCAATAACTAAGTAATAAAAAAAAGATATATATGAAAAGTAAGGTTTGAAAATTTAAAAAAAAAATAAAGAGAATAAGAGAGGAAAAAAAAAAACTAATAACGTAGAATTAGTTCTCGGAGCGGTTACCTTACACTTTCGTAACCAGAACTACCAATAAGTTGACATTAATTCAACAGGTTACGTCTAGTTAAGTTACCTATTTTAATAATTCATTTACCACACTGGGGCCAGCAATGAATTATTCCCTGAAATACCGAGGTGATCACCGGGTGTACAAATAGGGACAGAATGTAAATAAACAATAACAATCAGGATAACTAAAACTAGTACGATACCAAAATTTTCCAGATGATGGTGGTTCATTCAATTCGCCAGATTAGTCCTGGCTACTGGTTGTGGTTAACTTGATCGATGACTTGAGTAACCGTCCGATTACTTAGGCTGGTGTCTGTTAGCCTTTTGGTTCAATTTCGGTTACAATTGAACGTCTATTGTTATAACCGTGAGGGTATACTTGATGGTAAAGTACAACCTCCTAAGAAAAAAAAAAACCCTAAGAGAAAAAATTGTTATACACACTGTATTTGTAATTGAACCAATAGCGAAGCACTTCATGAATAAATTGAATCAATAAAAAAACTTGAAACTATAATGATTAGTTTCTAATAGCAAATTTACTTGATAAAAAAAAACTATAGCTCTTGAAAATTATTTTAATAGAAAAATTGAACATTAAGGTATTAATTAATTAAATCAGATGAAATCATAAGAAGGCTTTGATAGCAATTGAGAAAAATGTGTCTTGAGTTTGCAAAAATTGTTATAAGGTTATGTTTTTACCTGATGGAATTAGGGTTTGTTTGCCTCGAAAATCTCTGGAAATCTGGATCGGGGATTGGATTTCCTAGAGAGAGTGAGAATTCTCTACTCCTTAGGGCAGCTTTCAACTAAATTAAATTGAAAAAGTCAGAATCTACTATAGGAAAAAAAATGTGCAAGCAGCTTACCCCAATGGAGTTGTAAAAATCCGAATAAATCGGCGAAAATTATAACACTACGAAAACGTAAGGCAAAAAGGCAACTAAAATGTTATAATTTCAAATGAGAATTTAGGGTCGAAATCCCACAAGGGCGAAGACAATCTTCATAGAGACCCTAATTCTCCAACGTCCAGATGTGAAAAGAAATGTGTTACACATTCAATTAATAAGCTAACCTAAAGGGAGGAATTCAGACTCAGAGATGATTCAGACTAACGAAAAACATCAAAAATTAATCGATACAATTTTCACTTACCAAAAATTGCACACAACAATATAAACCGAGAAACATAACAACGGCTGACGAATAATGATATTAACAACAAATAATTATCCCATAAAACAATCAAAACTTGAAGAATACAAAATAGAGTGTTCCGTTTTCAAAATTAGAGGGCTCAAAGAAGAATCGACGATACTGAAAACATTACTAATCTACCGCTGGTTGACAGAAATTTTTGACAATCAAAAGTCAAAGAAACGAAATCAAAGGGTGCGTTCAAGATGTCTCAGAGATCAAAGAACCTATGCGCGACCCTGGGTTCGCTAGAATTTGCGCCAAGATCAATAGCGCTCCATAACCGGACAGAGTTAGTACGAACGGAGTTGTCTTACGGAACACAACCCACGAAATATTTTTGACACATGAATTATTTTTGTTATGAAACAGATGATCGAATTTAAACTTGGACTTAAAATATTGCTCTGTTTTGATTTCGAAATTGAATTAAAATATGGATTAAAATGAGGAAAAACCATTACAGCAAATAGAATTTGACTATGGAAAATTAGAAAATTTACAGGATCTACAACCGTTGAGATTATTGATGAAATTTAATAGAGAAAATGTTGACAAATTTAAGGAAATCTGGAATATAAAATTGAAAGTAGGTAAGAATCATTTATGCAATTTTGGCCTGTTACAAACTTACTGGTAGTTCTGGTTACGTAAGTGTAAGATAACCGTTCCGAGAACTAATTCTTTGTTTATTGATTTTCTCTTTTCTTTTAATTTAGATTTTCAACTCTTACATTTCATATATACATTTTTATTACTCAGTTGGTTATTGAGTTACAATAACACATTAGATTTTTACATATAATTCAATTGTTTTTCACTATAGCTATTATTCTAATAGAAGCCGTACTGTATTTGTTGATTGACCCTTCATCAAAGGGTCACTTCATTTATTAATTAATGATAGCTCCAGTGATTGTTCTTTCTCTTAAATAGTTTTTTTTTCTAGTTTCTTCTACTAGTAGTTTTCTTTGATAATATTGAAAATTTACTTGATTATTATTTTTTTAAAATTATTATCTCAATATATACCTATTGTTCATTGTTCATTGTTCAATAAACATACTATACCACTTGATTTATTGACTTTTATTTGGTTTTATGCACACAGCCTGGTTTTAGCTTACATTTTTCTTTTTCTTTATTATTATTTGAATTGTAAGGACCTGGAGCCAGATACCATCCTGGAGAGTCCGACTCATCTGTCCAGAGCCGGTGGCGCCCAAAACTAAAACCCGCCCCTACTCTCCGAATTATTTAGTTCTGAGTTAGGGGATAATTTGCACGCACTTCGACCTTCAGTCCTACAATCTCAAGTTCTCCATTCATTCATTTTTTTTTTTATTTATTTATTTTTTTTAATTATTTATTTTTTTTTTATTTTGATTTTTATTTTTACGAAAAAGCGTGGCAGATGTCGTTTTATTGGAGCCCAGTAACTTGCTTATCAAAGCTTCATATATTTTATCATGCTAAACTAGACATGTACCTATTTTTTAACATAAACAGAAATGGGTATTCGAATTTTTATCGCGCCATATATGTTTTCTCAATTTTCCTGACTATTGGAAGATGGTGCTACGAAGTACAAAATTCAAATTAGAAGGCGTAGCAATGATTAATTTTGAGCACGCTTTTGAAATTACTCTTTGCATCATTCAACAACGCAGTGATGCCCGATCAACGAAATAAAACCGCAAAGTGCACCTTCTAATTTCTTCTATTTATAGGTATAGGTACTTACTTCTCTCTGAGTTTCCGATTTTGAGGTCAAAGCGTGAGCATTCAAACTTGAGTCAGCCAGCAAAGCAGATTGTACCTGTTCTACATTGAAATGCTTTTCCAACTCCCAGTCAATCAACTGTTTAGTCTAAAAGAATAAATAGTTAGTAAGTAAAAACACACCAGAGCAAAACAGTTCCTACAAGTGCAGCAGCAAAATATTGATAGTATCTAGCAAATCCCTCATTGAGAAACGTATAATCCCACCATTTGCACGTCACCAAATTACCGAACCACATGTGAGTGAACTCGTGCGCAATAACCAGTGCAATGTTTTTCTTGTAAGTGATCGCCGTGTCCTCTTCGCTAAAAAGCAAACCCGTTTCCCTGTAAGTGACCAGACCCCAATTTTCCATGGCCCCGGCCGAAAAGTCCGGAATAGCTATTTGGTCCATTTTTGGCATGTACGAACCTGAACAATAATATTTGTGCATAAATAAAACACAAACATACAAACTTACCATATTTAATTCCGAACATGCTTTCCAAAGATCTTATTAGTGGTGGGCCAACTTCTACAGCCCAAGTTCTATCTTGCGCTTCTTCTTGTCTAGAACAGACTCTATGAAGGACGTTATTGTCGATTGTATCTTGCGCAGAGCAAGTGAACTCCGATATGATAAATGCTACTAGATACGTTGACATGCGTGTAGTTTCTTTATAGTGCGTTGTTACGTAGCCATCACTAAAAGAAAAACAATGTATTAAAGTTCTGTACCTATCAAAAGCTTCTAATTCAATCACATCTAATCTAGTTTTAGGCTTATTACTAGAAAATGACAAGGTTTAGAGTGTTGGAAGTGCCTGCCGAGCGTCAATTAGAAAAGCTCATTTCAGATGTGAACCGCCTATTCTACTACAATTTAGAACTAGTCTTTGAAAATGATAGATTTGGTGCAAAGAGCATTTATACAGGGTGACTCGGAGTTAATTTCCCTTTTCGAACGCGCCCTGTACATTCAACTTAATATTTGTGGGGAGGTTAGCGCTGGCAATATGCGGCGACTGCGTGCGGATTATCAGTGAACATGGAGCAGTGGTCGAACGAGCAACGCGGGTTTAAGGTTGAGGCGTTTTTTAAATCAAATGATTCTTATGTCGCGGCACGGCGACGTTTTTGTAACCGTAACCATATCCGCCGTATACGTGACGCTACGTCAAAAAATGTATTGAAATCGTGGGTTCAAAGATTCAATGTGGTACAGTGGCAATAGGGAACAATCATATTTTTCAAATTATTTTTTTTCTGATTGCTTATGTTTTCAAATATAAAATACATATGTTTTCTTTTGTATTATGTCCTCATTAAAATAAAAAAAATATATAAAATTTCAAATTATTTCCGTTGGCGCGAAAACGATTACCTTCAAGATGTCGGTATTTGTGACGTCAACTGTTTGTAAATACAACGTTAAGGTCTGTTTTCACAAGAGTCTCTGACACTTTGCAAACTGTCAGAAAAAATCGCTCGTACCTTCGACTGCATTGACAATGGTTGCGTTCCCAAGCACTCAACATGTTGAGTGATTAGTCAGCGGCTATGTTGAAAACAGATGAAAATCAGCTCTAGGCCAATCAAAACTTTTCTACCTTGTGCATTTCTCTAGCTGGAACAAAGCCGCTTACTAATCACTCAACATGTTGAGTGCTTAGGAACGCGACCAATGTGGTTTTTACGTGATGTTTCTGTATTTGGCGTATTGTGACATTTTGTATTTCAATCAGTTTATCATGATTGATTCAGGATTTACAGAAGCGCAGCCTGACAATCTTCCCTCTATAGACCCATTTATGGTGGTTTATTATCAGTGAAGTGAGCTGATCGTGGACCAATCGTTCTTCATGACCCAAGAGTGGACTACGAAACCATGGACCACGTACGTTCGTTATTCACGGTCAGTGTGCACTACCCTTAACCTTAGTTTATGAACAGTTGACGTCACCGAAAGCGGCCATGTCAAACGTAGCTTTTCCGCGCGAAACTTTTCAATTTAAAACTAATAATTGCCCTATAACAATAATATCGATATATGAAATGCAAAACTCCTCATATTCAATATTTTACAGAAATATGTGCACCATAAAAACAAAATGAACCATATTTATTTCTCATAAGAATTCCCTATTGGCAAATCAGAAGCGTCCCGCCATATTTTCGAATTGAACGCCTCGGATTTTCGGTCGCAGCACGTCGCACAATCCCAATGTTCTCTGGAGTTCTGATGGACTTCTGTTGGCCGAGACGCTTTGGATTTGCCATTGGACCACTTTGTCTAAATCTTTAAACCCATAATTTCAATAATTTTTTTGACGGAGTATCACGTATACGCCGAATATTGTAACGGTTACAAAAACGTCACCGTGTCAGGACATGGGAATCGTTTGATTTAAAAAACGCCTCGACACTAAACGCGCGTTGCTTGTTCGACCACTGCTCCATGTTTACTGATAATCCGCAAGCAGTCGCCGTAAATTGCCAGCGCTAACCCCTCCACAAATATTAAGTTGAATGTACAGGACGCCTTCGAAAAGGGAAATTTACTCTGAGTCACCCTGTAGCTGGATGAGACTGGAATTAGTGTGAATCACTGAAGTCTTATTCCCGGAATGGTTAGGGCATTTCGTGGCACGGAAGATTCGGTGTTAGTTCTTCCCGACAATCATGCCACAACTCTTTAAAGTCCTGTAATTTCTGTCGTGGAAACGGGATCATTCCTGTTCCGATAGCCCCACACACTTCTCACTGGCTTCAGCCTCTGGACGTCTTATTCAAGGAAGCTCAAGCATACCATCACCAAATACCAAGCAATATCCGATAGAGTCATTTATATTACGATTACCTGAATAAAAAAATTTAATCTGCAGATTATTCCAAGTTTACGCACCGATGAGCACAGCAAAAGAAGAGGAAATCGAAAGCTTTCACGATTATCAAGATAGAGCTTGTCAAATGGAATCAACCCAATTCTTAATAGTCATGGAATACTTCAACGCCAAGATAGGAAAACAAAAGCGGGGAGATACTGACTATGTGGTAAATTTTGGATTTGGCGAAATAAATGAGAGGAGAGATTCTATCCAACTACTTAAATAAAGAAAATCTGTACTCAACACATTCTTTAAAAAAACAACGCAAATAGACATGTACAGCCCCGATAACCAAACCAAGAAAGAAATCGTTTGCATCATATCCAGACAATATGTAAAGATGATTCAATTCCGGGAGCGATCACAGGCTGGTGACAGCAAAGATCATAATTATTATTGCAATTGAAAAAAAAAACTCTTCAAAAACTACGCTTTCCCTCTCACGATGTCTAAAACTTAAAGAAACAGAATATCAACACGACTTGAACCAAAAACTAACAAATTCAATTCTGAGCGAAAACAGATACAGCACAAATAAAATAACTTAAAATCTGTTTTTTTTTTTAAAGATAAAAGTCAAAATGACATTATGTTGGCAATATAATGTAAAAGTGTCAATGCTTTCAATTTTTTTATGTAGAAAAGGCTTGTGTTGCCAACATAGTTACAAAATTTTTGACTTGGGGAATTATCTTTAAAAAAAAACGAACTTTACGTTGTGAGAACTTCGGTAAAGAAGATCTGCCTAAAGACACGGAGCCACAAACACTGAAGCTAATCCAAAACGCATTAAAATTATTAGAAAATAGAAGGAACACAACGGATAAAACAATCGACGAATATAAAAATGTAAACAAGCAAGCTAAAAAAGAAATCTGAAAAGACAATAGAAAGAACCTACAATGCGGAACTCATAGAGAAAACCATCAGCTTCCCAACTTCCAAAATTTAGGAGGGGGGGTCTCAAGTTAGCCTCCCAGTAGGAGTTTGTCGGAAAATTACCGAATATGGAAATTTTGAGAAAAACCTGATACAGCAAAGTTCAGCACACTTCGGATTGCATGAGAATCCATTTTTGTTTGATCTGATTTCCAAAATTTTGGGGGGGCTTAGCGTCAAGTTAGCCCCCCAGTAGGATTTTGTCGGAAAATGACCGAATATGGAAGTTTTGAGAAAAACCTGATACAGCACACTTCAGATTGCATAAGAATCAGTTTTTTTCCTATAACTTTGGTATCGAAATGGCAAAGTTCAAAATATCATCGGCACAGTGAAGCACACTTCGAGCACAGTAAGTGGTTGCAATTTTGTTAGAAAATTCGAATGTGGGGGGGGGGCTAACTTGACGGAGCCGTTTTAAAATCATTTTCTCGCGCGGAGAGCTTATGACGTCATGTGACGCGAGAAAACACCTCTAGTCTTTGTTGACTTTCAAAAGGCTTTTGGCACCGTCAAAATCTGGTCAATCTTAACGGCTCTGCGAAACGTTTGAATAGTACGTACAGTTGCGATCAAAAAAATGTAGTACAAGAAAAATCTCCAAAATCTCCTGGTCTATTATAAAATAATTTAATTCATAACCAAAAATGACATATTTTTGGCATTTTTCGACAAGTTTCTAACCTAGAAAGCTTCAGATGACATTACTTTGGCATTTTACCACCCGTTTTTAACCTAGAATATGCCATTGCCTGTTTATTTACTGTCAAAATTTTGTATGTTACACATTATACATTCCTAAATCTATCGCTTAAGATAATCTGTTAGTTCTATTTGTAGAATCGTGAAAATGGAAAGTCTTGGATACTTTCTGTAGACGTCTAGTTTACAGTGATGCAATAGACCCCAGTGGCGGCCAGTGGCATCCTAGTGTGGTTGTGCGCTCTTGGAAAATTTTTTGGAGGTGCCACGTCCTGTTTTACATTTATTTTGTATGTTGATTTTTTTTCTTTTTACTTTAGGAAAAATTATCGAAAACAAAAATATATGTATTTAAATGAGGCTTGAATGTTTGTATTCTAGCCATAATACATAATTGATACTGAAATTTATAATTAAAAAAAAAACCGCGAACAACAGAGTTGTCAAACCGCCAAAATGGTGAAAAAACATCGAAATATTCTCGATTGAGTGGAAACAACATTGGAAGTGTGTATTCAAATAGCGCACGGCGCATCCCTTTCATCGGGCGACTTACAGTATATTCCCGATCAATCGCACAACGAGAAAACACATTTACCCAGAGCGCCGAACGATTCCACACCGACCACCCGGACCACCAGCACAACCAAGCGGGAGAAAAAAATATACAAGACAGGCGCAGGGCGCGCTTTCGTTCCGTTCGTGCGAATTTAAAAATAGAAAAATAAGTAGATATTTATCCTAATTTAGAAAATTGGGTAGGTATTTTTTAATTGAAGTTTCTTTTCTTTCCAAAATTTTAATTTTATTTTCTTGCTTGGTTTTTGGAGGCAGTGCGCGCGCACGAGCGCACTTATTGAGAAGCCGCCCCTGATAGACCCATTGATTGCCAAACATCCGATCGCAAATATTCACGATTCTATAAGATTTTTTGTAAGCTACAGGAATCGCAGAATTGCAAATTGTCTATAGGCTTATGGAAAGTTATAGGTTTGCTTACAGATGTGCACAGAATTGACATAACTACCATGGCGAATTTCAAAACAAATGGAAATAGTCTCCAGGTGGGTGGGAAATTTCCCGACTCCAACATCCCTATGGTCTGTCTCATGGAATCTGGAGGCAAAAATTCGCTTTTGGTATCAAAAACCACAAAGAAACATGACAAAATCACAA